CATTTCGTGGTATTTTTGCAAATACTCCTTTCCTCCGCATGTTCCTGATATCTGTGTAGGTTGTGTGGTAAATGATGGTTGCTCATCTTCAGAACTACTAAGTGACGTAGTGTCAACTCCCTCATCTGGGATGGCTGAAATAACATTGCAAGACCTTCGCTTGACTTTAGGCTTCTTTGAGTTCATCGATGTCTACTGCTCGTCCACTAGTAAGTCAGGATGAACCCACATGATTTCACCTTCAAAGGCGGTGTAGGGGACTATTCCCTTTTTTTCTTCTGATGAGGGTCAAGGTTTACGACCCTTGTCTCTACTTGGGGAATTGGTTTCATACCATCTTGGACTTGCACCTCGGCAAAGTCTCCAAACTGTACCGAGACCATATTTGCAGATACCTTCTTTTGCTCGGCTTGAAGGGTCATCACACCTGCATCTAACAAAGCCTGGATTTTATCCTTCAGGATGTAACATGCCTTGCTTGGATGATGCACCATCCTGTGGTACATGCAATAGTTAGGATCATCGGTCCTTGACACTTCTTCGGTTCGTTTCACCTCTGGCAATTTGATATTCTTCATTTTGATCAACAATGTGAGGATGGAAACAACATGTTCATCTTTGAAATCATACTTTTTCTTAAAATGATTGTCGGAAGTATTTCCTTTTTGTTTTGCAAAAGATTTCGGGGATGGGGCTGTCTCAACAGCTAGAGTATCTTTCTCTTTTGATTATTTCTGGGAGTTATAGTTGCCTTTACCCCCTCCCTTCTTAGGTTGGGATTCCTGAGGCTCTTCAACACTCATCCTCTTGAGCATGTTCTCTACCTACTGTCCCTACCAAACCAAATCTTTCCATGAACGGGCTTCAACAGCGTCCATTTTAGACAAGATGTTGATAGAAAGATTGTTGCGGCATATCTCCACAAGAGTAGCTTCAGAAACCTGATCACGCGAATATAATGATTGATTTCTAAATCTCTTAACAAAGTCACTGACATACTCTGTATTCTTCTACTTCTCAGCCAATAGCATGGCCATAGACACCTCAGTGTCATCATCAAAGAATCGAGCTAGAAAAAGCTTCTCCAAATATCTCCAACTTTTGATTGACTCAGGCTCGAGCCTGCGAAACCACTCAAAAGCTATCCCCTTTAGAGTGCTAATGAACAGCTGAGTCATAATAGAATCATTACCCACTATATGTCTAGTCTGTGCCTAAAAATAATAAATGTGTTGGGTAGGGGAACCCTTGCCATCAAACTGCACTAGATTGAGTGGTTTGAATTTCGAGGGGTATGGAACCGTAACCCATTCAGTTGGATATGGCCTAGCCACCCCCCACTTCTTTGAAGTTTCCTTGGAGCTTTAATGTGTCAAGTTGCTTCTAGAAATCATCCAGCTTCTGGTCCTGTACTTTTGTACGAGGATTGGACTCAGCTTCAGACGATTCAGAATGAACCCCCACAACATTTTCCTCTTCATCGTCTTCATCATTACCATCTTGATGTTGACGGCTGTTCTCTCCCTCGATGTGTGGACGTCTTCTAGGTCTTGATCCTGAGGCTTGGGGATGAGCATTCTTCTTTTTTTTTTCTCCCCGAGGAGTTTCTCTACCATTGCTTCCAGGCGTCTGATAGACTCCTGTTGTTGACGAATGGTTAATTGTTGTTCTTTCATCTGCCTTGCTAGGTCCTCCTCACTTCCGGTCATGTGATCACTTACTTGTTCACTTTGATCGGTGTTGGAAGGCTGAGAGGTTGCAATAGCTGAGTTCTCAGGCTCTTCCTCAGCCTCATCTGTGATGCCCGCTAATCATCAGTAATCAAACGGGTTCACTACACCAGTATGAGTATGAGTGTGTTGATACACACCTTGTCCTTTGACAAGTATTTCACCTAATCCTGGAGAGTATTCAGGATCATAAGATTCAGAAGAATTAGCCGATGCTTTACTCTTGTCCTTGCTGACCATGTTAATCGTCACTTCAATGTGGCGATTCTTAGGTGCTTGTTTCTTGGGACAAAAGCACCTTCTTCTCGATGACGAGATCATTGACGGCTCAGTCAACTGTTCGAAGATTGAAGATTTATGTGCTGACTCCCCATATGGGCATTGGAAAAGTACTACAGAAATAAGCTTCTTACAGTAGCAATGAGATTGCATCTGATTTATACTATGCTTACATGTGAGATAATCCCGAAGATCACCAGCAGGACAACCTCCAGCTGACTATGTCATCTTAGCTTTACTCGAGCGAAACCCTCTGAATGATAGAGATTAACAAACTTAGGTAGGTTGACAAACTCCATCATTCATGTGACGAGGTTCGTTGATAGGACGGGCTTGGCGAGTTCGCCTTCTCGGTTGGTTCTTAACTTGAGGTTCATTTTCTTGACGAACCTCGGTATGAACCACTTGTTAAATTTGTTGAACCTCTTTTTAAGGATGAGGTTCATGTTATGAGCCTACTCAGGTATGAGGATGAGGTTTGTCATTTTGACGTTCCTCATTTATATGACCTTCGTTAGACTTATTGACCTTGGGCTGGTCAGCTTTCGATCAATAGTGAACACCGTCTAGCGAGACCAAGGCTCGATCCCTACAGCGAGCTTGGTTCTGGTGCTGACATTGTCGAGCATGTCTCGACAGTGGACCAACAGGAACCTTTG